CATTTCTGGCTTGTGCTTCTCTCCTTTATTATTATTAAGCACCACTCCTGGGTTCGTGTGACGACCCCTTGCCCACGATTCACCGTCATTTCAATATCTTCAGAACTCACGCCACCTGATCAGGCCAAACCCAAATCTTTCTCCTATCTCGGTTTAGTGGAAAGCGGAACAGCTGAGGAGTCACAGAGACATAAATCAGCCAGGTACTACTTGAACCAACTTGGTTTCTTGATCCTAGCGACTAAGGTGTAAAAGTGGTCTAACGCGGGTACATATCCGTCATGATGATCCCTCCCCAATAAAGCCGTGCAACCGTGGGCATTTCTATGCTGCTTCTCATCATTTCATCTTCTTGGTCTTCGTCTTCTTTGTGCCTCGTTTTATTTTGTCGTCCTCACGTCATATAATCCACAGCCCATCCTTGCTTAAAATCAGCGCATTTACTGGGAAGCACCCTCCTCTTGGGTAGCATCGGCGTCCTTCATCTCCTGGTCTCCGCCCTGGGCGGCCTTCTCAGCCTCAGCAGCCTTGCGAGCCTCTTCCTCAGCGGCTTTCTTAGCAGCGCGCTCGGCGTCCACACGCTCCTGGACAGCTCGTCGCTCAGCGTCGACCTTCTCAAAGTGGCGCTGGACAATGGGGCCGGCCATGGCGCGGATCTCGTCAATCTTGGCAACATAGACACCCTTGGTGGTGTCCTCGCCCTCCTCGTACAGCCAGTCCTAAAGCAATATGTTAGTATGGGTGTGAACCACTGCAGGAACTGCGTTAACGTACCTCGGTAGCCTCGAGCTTAGCCTTGATGCTCGTCTTCTCCTCGTCACTGGCAAACTCAGAGTATTGTTCATCGAGCTTAGCACGGAGGTCGTAGATGTAGGCCTCGAGCTCGTTCTTCTTCTCCTCGGTATCGGCGACGAGCATATCCTCCATAACCATGGCAGACTCCTTCTCGATCAGACCAGCCTTGGAGGCATCATCTAGAGAAGCAGTGCCACTAGAGATAGGCAGGTCACCCTTGCGGACCTGCTTCTTGACCTTGCGGGTCTTCTTAGAACCGTCGTCCTTCTTATCAGTCTCCATAGCCTGTGGGGTAGCAGATGTCAGCGAACGGTTGTTTAGAATTAACTCGGGCAGGCTACTCACATCGGGATCCTTCTTGTCACCCTCCTCGCTAATCTCCTCCTCGACCTCCTGGTCCTCGACGTAGTAGCCGTTCTCTACGTTCAGGACACCGTGGATGTTAACACGGGCCTTGAGCTTGCAGATCATGAAATCGTCCTTGCCGTCAGCCTTGACGCTCTTGACGGAGAAACGACCGATCCAAGGGTTGGTCTTGCCGGGGAGCTCCTCGGGCTGGGCGTAGCGGGCCTCAAGGTCGAAGGGCTGTTTGCGGTAGAAGGTAAGAATCTTAGTGGAGGGCATGACGTTGCCCTTGTTGAAGACGGTAAGGCAAGTGTCCTCGTCGGGGATATCAGGAGCCTTCTCCCAACCGAACTCGATAGGGTAGCTGATGATGTCCTGGACGGAGAAGTCACGGACACGGAAGACGGGGGAGAGAATGGCGCAGCTGAAGGCGGAGCCACGGGCAAGGGCCTCGTCAGCGTTCAGGGTGAAGGAAAGAGGCTTGCCGAAGAATTCCTGGATGCGCTCCTTGAGGGCGGGGACACGGGAGCCACCGCCGACGACCTCGATGATGTCGATGTCCTCCTTGGTGAGCTTAGCCTGGGCGAGCGCCTGCTCGAGAGGGAGATGGGCACGGGCAAGGAGGGGCTCAATCATGGCCTCGAACTCCTGTCGGGTAATCATGCTAGTAGCATCGATATCGTTCATGAGAGACTCGATGTTGACGGGAGACTGTTGGTTGGCGGAGAGGATCTTCTTCGTCTTCTCGGCGGCGGTGATGGTACGAGCCATGGCTCGGCCGTGGGTGGTGATGTCAACCTTGTACTTGCCCTTGAACTCCTTGGCGAGGTGGTCGACGAGGGCCTTGTCGAAGTCACGGCCACCAAAGTTGCGATCCCAGGCGGTAGCCTTGACGGAGAGCTCACCCTTGCGGAACTCAATGATGGAGCAGGTGTAACTGCTGTGGCCGACGTCGACGAAAGCGACACGGCGGGGCTTCTCCTCGGGGCCGGGAAGGTCGAGCTTGGTGATACCCCAGCCGAGAGCGGCGGCTGTGTTGTCGTTGATGAGACGGAGGAGCTTGAGGCCAGCGATCTCGGCGGCGTCAATGAGGCCGCGGCGCTGGACGTCTGTGAACCACGGGGGCACGGTCATGCAGATGTCGGAGACGGGGAGCTTGAGCTCGGCGGCGGCGGTCTGTCTGATCTTGCTGAGGTACATGGCAACGAGCTGAGTGGCAGAGAACTTCTCCTTGTTGCCCAGGTAGTTGATCTCGGCACCGACCTGGCCATTGACATCGACAAGAGGAGCAGTGATGTACTGCTGCTCGATCTGGATATCGGGATCGGCGAAAGTTCGACCGGCGAGACGCTTGAGGGAGCCGACAGTGTTCTTGAGGTTGGAGATCTCCTGGGTCTTGGCGGATTCACCAAGATAGCGGGACTTGGCGCCGAATCCTACCATGGAGCTGTAGGAAGCGAGGATGTCAGTAAAGGGAACATGATGGCGCCGGGGAAAGCGGCGTGGGGCGCAGCGCAAGAAAGGAGAGCGCAAGAGGGGAGGACGTACGGGGTAGCTCGGTTGGAGACTTCATTGGTGACCTAGATCGGGTGTTAGTCAGGAGAGTTGGCAGAGGGGCATCGCGGATCGTGAGAGTGGTGTTGGCCAGGTTGACGATAGTTTCTCGAGGATGGATGGAATGGCGGGGAGGAGGGGCGGCGAGGGGATCCGGGATGGCGACTTGGCGGGGAAGAGGGAAACGGAGAAGATGAGAGGAAGGAGAAAGAGGATACGCACCACGTCCACGCCGCGGTTTCTCGCGACGGCAATGACGGTCTTGAGGGTTCCGAAATCTACACCTGTAGGTTGGGAAACGCAAGGTTTGGGTCAGCCACGAACTCGAATTTGGCTCTGTGACGTCCCTCCAAAAGAGGACAGGGACCGGCACAGCGCCGAGCGCCCAGCGAGGGGCAACAGGAAAAACTCACCGACGACACTCATGATTTCGGTTGGTGGGGTTTGCCCCGGGGCACGCGCGCACTGGCAGAAGAGGGATACGGAGGAAGAGAAGAAGTGCACAGGCTCACGGGGGGCGGGCGCGGGCGAGTGCGAGTTGGAGAGTCGTCGTGGGGATGTGGGATGGAGAGTGAAAAAGGTGTTTGGGCTGGGTTGTTTTTTTGTAGAGTGGAGGGGGGGTAATGATTAATGGAGGGGAAGATTGGGACGATAAGCTGAGTTAGGTGGGAGGCAGCAGGCACGTAGCGCACGCAGCGCATTCAGCAGCCACTACGTCCACGACGGAGAGGGAAACGGGACGGGCAACAGAGGGAAAATTTTAGTTTCCCGCCTGCGCCGCAGGTACAGGGTACTTGGTCGATTAGCCGCCAGACGGTGTTGGCTGGAAGTAGCAGACACTTGCTGTGGGATGGGAGCAAGCGCCCTGGAGCAGGCGGCCTACACGCGCTGCGGCCTACTACGGAGGATCATGGCGGTAGCGTCTACAGCACGTCCGTCGGTGAGTCCGAGGTACCTGGAACTGCTGACGGCTACAGTGCGCTGCTGAGGTACCTGCCCGTCCTGTCTGTGCTTTCGCGGCCGCAGCGCAAGAGACACTCTTGTGGAATCAACCACCAGCTTCGGTTTGGTTCTCCATGACATAGCCCTCTATGACATGGCATGGCAACAACCGTTCGGCGGCTGCTTTTACAGGGGCCTGTCCAGGCATCTGGACCCCCCCCCCGAAACAAGATTGGGCGATATCAGATCTGTCGGGCCCTGTTATTGTTCCACTGTTGTTAATTGGCCGTGGTGTGTAACGTGTAACCCAGCTTGTGGCTGACCACTCATTCGACTGCCCTGTCATTAGTCGCCTCGCTTTTCCTTGACTCTCCCTCTCCGCCTCGCCTTTGCCTTCTTACGTAGCGCATAATAAGTTGCTGTACCACCTACGTAGTAAGTACATAGCAGCGGCACAGTATCCAGCCTTTTGAGCCTATACAGTATGGAGTACCTGTTCCTTGGTTGGTTCGCCCCTCCCCCGCCGCCGCTGGCATCAGAAAAAAAGTTGTATCCACACCCAGCAGAAAGCCAAAGAAGTTTCCAGATTGTGCGTGTTGTTGGCAGCTCTCTCTGGACGACCGAGCTGGATTATACCCACTCACCCACTCTCCATCAGAGCAGCAACCACGCACTTGATCATGCGCCATTCGCATTCTCCATGACTATGACTAACTGCAAGCAGATAATGGCCAGTAGCCACGGTCGTTGGTTTGTGAGTTTTTGGCGTTTGCATGACTTTGACACACCTCAATCCACCTGCCAAGACTCTCCCCTCTCCCGCTGGAACTGAAGCCGCTTACCGTACCGCCCTCGCCGACTGCTTTTCTGTCAGTCTTGATCCCAAACTCCTCCGAGAATAGGGAATCGAGTGGAGGATGAGTAATAAAGAAACATGATGACATATGGCTGATATTTTGGGCTTCCATATTTGTCCCAATTGGGTTTCCGCAGCCCAATCCCACCTCCTTGTCGTGTCTGCGCTTATGACTGGCTAGCCCGCCCACCCGGTATCAACTCCCACCATCGTCATTGCGGCCTCTCCTCCGTAGATATACTCCACGGGTTTCCTTTGTCATAGAACAGGACTGGGGAGCTTCTCGCATGGTTGGGCATTTCATCATCGAGTTAACCAGTGTATTCATCTGCCAACTGCTGACCTCATCCAGCCATTCATCATCGCCTATTGACCAATTACGTATTATCTAACATGCCAACCAAACACAAGAGTCACAATCAGGGTAAATGAACTACGCACCCATCGACTTACAAATACCCCATTCCCCCAAAATATCAAGAGACAAAAAGTATTGAGAGCAAAAATATGCGACTAAGGGGAATTGAACCCCTCCCTATTGCTTGGAAGGCAACAATGCTAACCACTACACCATAGACGCTTGGTCTAATTGAGTAACCGATGAAGGCTTCTGTGAGAAACGGCCTCCGTCACTGTACTTATGAATCCTGATTCTGTCTTTCGCCTACCTATCAGCGATATTCAAATGTCACGTCAAACAAGACCAGTCCTAATACTCAGATGGGCTGTAGTAAATCAAGTTTTGTTTTCGACCTAACATATGTTGGAGAGATATCGTATTATAAATCTCTCTGACGAAGGTGAAGATGCTCTCTCCATGTGCAAATATCCCCTCTAAGAAATTGTTAGCAACTTGATTTAGCGCACAAACAGAAAATATGCCATCGCTCCTGAAGCGGCTCATCGCTCTTCACTTCCGCTTCTTCCGACATCCCAACCAACTCCTCCCCTTTTTTTTTCCCTCACTTCTTCTCAGCCCCAAACTTCCCGTCCTCCAATCGAGTAACCATCTGTTGGACGCGTGTTATTCGGTTTGCAAACGACGTATGATGCCCTCTAACAGGTTGCCCTGGTGTCATGCCTTGTTCACTCGCCCTCAACGCTCTCTCCATACCCTCCCCAGAGACTCTCGAGGTTGCGTTGCCCACCGGAACTCTATCATACTGACAATTAGCAGTTCTCGGTTCTACTACTGTCAGGTAACCCGCTGCTCTCACAGGAGCATTCATTAGCTCGAGTCCCTCTTGCGTGCCTCTCTCTGGAGTAACGCTCGAACTTCCCCACTTCAGTAACCGCGCAATCTCATACTTTCGGCGGTCCTCATCGTCCATGAAGACCTCTACTTGTTGTGATGTGACGGTTCTATTGCCAGTTGTTGCGTCGGATAAGGTGCTGTCTAGAGAGTCCCGCCGGTGCCTATCCTCTTGATGCCGGTGCAAGTCTCTGCGACCAGACAGCCCAGTCTCGACATCGAGATTCGCCTCGCACTCGTCGAGGTGTGCATATGTTCCTGCCGCTGTTCTCTGCCTCGCTGAGAATCGGCCGTCAATCTTGTCAGGAGGTCGGACCACACTCCCTGTCCGTTCAAGCCCACTCGACGAAGCCGACTCTGGCTTTGAGGCTGCTCTGCGAGCCACATGTGCGGCTTTGAACGTCTCCGGAACGACATTGAGTTCATCGCCCTGTTCTTCAGCTTGTTCAACTGCCTCCCGTGCTGTCGTGTGGGAGTCGGCCGCCGCCGCATCGGCTCGCGGCCCGCCCCATGTTCGTTGTCCTGCGGTAAAGATCCCGTACACCATGTAATACCAGTTGCAAAACGGGTTCAAAACGAACATAAGCGGGTACAACCAAATCTTAAACCGCCTCAACTTGGCTCCAAAGTACAGCATCAGCAGCCAGTTGAGTCCGAGAGAAATAGCGATGAACCCAACAGGCAGGTCATTCACCTTTTTTACCGTTGTAATTAGTGAAAACACCATGATGAAAAAGAGCAGAGCCGTCGTTCGAATCGTGTTTTGTAAAAACCGGACAAATATCAGGAACGGGTACCGCTTCCAAAGTCTCCAGTCTGTTAACATACAGACTTCGTTCGTGATGAAGCCTAAGAACCATCGACGCCGCTGCTTAACCAGGGACCGATAGGTCTGCACGGCCTCGGTTTTGCAAAATGCAGACGTGCACATCTGAATTTGGTAGCGCTTCTTGGCTCCAATCATAAAGAGATGCGTGAGCCAGCGATCCTCTCCCAGGTGACATTTAGCAAAGTCGAACAAGTCTTCGCATTGTTCCATCTTGTCTGCAAAGTAGTATTTCGCCATTCGTCGAAAGGCCGAGAAACGCAGCATTGTCAAAGCACCAGGAAGACAGGTGACGGAGCCGCAGCCCGACTCGACTGTCCGCTCAAACAGTTGCCCGTGGATGTACTCCATATCTTGCAGAAGGGTGATGAGACTGTGTTTTTTTGTTGTCGAAGTAATGACTCCAGTCATGGCCAGCATGTCTCTAGTATTGCCGGGACTGAGCTCCATGTCGTAGACAAAGTTCTGAAGGCATACCTTATCTAGTATGCAATCCGAATCGATGAAGAGAATGAAGAGGTTGTCTTTCCGCTTGAGGTACTGCTCATATACCTTGTCGATGAGCTTGAACGTTGATTTTTGGCAGTGTCTCTTACCGCCATGAGGGAAACGTGAGACAGTGACTCGTGCTGCTCGGTAGGTTACGTCTATGCTCTTAGGATACGAATCCATGGTCAAAGGCACGCCGAGTTTATCAATGGTGTTCAGGTATAGCTCGTCCTCTTGTTCGCCGTCAAAGGATAGAAAGACGTGGATGCAGGCTGCCGGGTAGTCGCAGTCAACCACGGAGTTGACAGCTGTGATGAGAACTTCGGGCTCTTCTCGGTAGCAAGGCATGACGATCACCACCTTGGGGGCCGTGACATCGTCGAGTATTTCCTTGATGCGCTTAGTCCGACCAAGTTGATTTGTCACCAGCTGGTAGATGCACAAAAGCCAGGGGACATTGAGGAGAATAGCGAAGCTCCAGAAGGCGAACCACTGTAGAGAGGCCACCATCTCCTCCGGCCAGAGTCGAGTGACCTGGCTAGGAAGCGGAAGCGTAACCACCATGATGGGGAGAAAGATGATGCTAGGTAGCGCTTTTCAGCCTACTTAATTCATGTATTGTATTCGTTTCGAACGCAACATACCGGAACAAGATGAATGAAAGACCGACAATGATGCAGAGCATGTTGATAGACCAATGCTCTGATTTTTGCCAGACCTTGACGAGGCAGTAAACAAAGGCCGCGAGCCAGAGGAACCATTCGAGGCATGCCATGATCATGATGACTCCGACGATGGATGTGTAGACAATCTAAAATTTCGAATGGCATGGGCAGTCAGTAAACGGTGTGAGCGTCAGGGCCAGAGCCGAGATCGCGGAGTTGACTTACGTCTTGAATCGGCCACTCGTTCAGGGAGGCCATGTTTGCGGAGCGGCGGCGGCAGCTTTCGGGTATGATGCGTCACTGTTTATCGATCTCAGCATTCGATTTGCGAAGTTTAGGCATGCAAACTTCATGTGATGGAAGTGTCAGAGTGAAGTGAAGTGACTTGGAACCGCACTTGAGGGGAACAAACCGCCATGTGGACAGACACCTCAGGCCAGGGCGCGGAACGGTGCAGCGAGCCCCCAACCGGCCGGTTGGAGTTGGGCCTGCAAACAATTGCAGAGGCTGAGTAATGAGCTCCTTCAAGGAGACTAGAACCAGGTCAAGGGGCTGACCCTTTCTGCAACTACCCGAGCAAGCTAATGAGTGTGTGGGACTGTCACGGCTACGTGCAGGAGACAAGAGAGGAGAGGGCACGACAGACAAGAAAGAAAGGAAATATCAGGTGCTTAAGGTAGAAAAGCGTGACCCGAAAGGCTACGTACCTACCTACATGGAGCTTGGTCGAGTGAATGTCGAGGTGTATACTTGGAGGGAAGGTGCGCTCCCAGAAGCCCGCATCACTTATTTGAGAATCAAGGCCAGCAGCCAACCCTACAGAAACAAACGCCTGTGATTGCGTATCCACAACTGCTTCCAGTCGTACGAAATACGAAAACCAATCCCGGTAAACGGACTAACAAGACAATCAACGCAGGTGTCCGTCATGCAACGCACACATCCAACGGCAGGTATCATCAGCCGCCATCCAAGCCTCGGAGAGAATGCTCTGGGTCTAGGATATTCACGACTATGATCCTTGGATCATGACGCGGGTGACGCGGACTTCCGGGTCCTTTGAATGGTGCATCATGGTGCATTTCGGACCGCATGGGCGGGGGGACACGGAACACTGAACAAAACCATTCACACCACAAACGCATCTCATCCACTGAAAACGAGCATTGTCAAAACGATTGATTGAGGCTGCCAAAGGCACATTGCATCCATATTCAGAGTCTAGCGTGACCCCTATCAACGATGGTAGTGCGCTCCGCGCTTCTCACAGGCAACTTGACCCTCTTATGGGCCCTAGTCTCGTACGGAACCCAACCTCATTCTCATCTCACTGTCTCCATTGCTATCGACGTCATGTTACTTACCATGGCCACTGCTGAGCCGTATCGTCGACGCCTCATCGTCACTATAGCAAACTCTTTGCGCCACTGGCGGCGACATGTAGTTTGCGACACGACGCTTGGTTCAGAGTCCCACCTTACCCTAGGTCAGGAGCGAGTCCATGGATTCATGGTACCATCCGTTGCGAACTCGCTCGACACGTGTTGGCTACGGCCCTTGCCTCGGGCGGAGTTGGATTTTGGGGGGGATGTTACTAGCCGTTCCGTGGGATCGGTTTCATGTCCTTGGAGTATCGATTAGCCTCTAAACTCACCCTTGCTATACTTCCACATGCGAGTGTTACTTACCAGTCGACGTCGCTTAGCTGCAGCTTTCGGATCCTCTGGCCTCGGTCCTTGTTCGACCGCTCCAAGCGGTTGTGATAGTACGTCGTCGGACGTTCGTGGCCTGGGTTGAATAATGAATATTGGTATTTCTAAAAAGGGGGTATGGATCCGTACTACCGTCCGGATCGTCATTTTGCTGAAGATCGTAGTTAAGCACCAGATTTTTGATGCGCTGCTGTTCTTCACGCTCAGCCTGTTGTTGATTCTTCATAGCAATCGCAAAGGTTGAATCTGAAGGCAGCTCGACGGTTCGCGTCTACTACCACATCAGTACAGTCAAAAGTGCGATCGACATTCGCCATACCTGTTGACGATTGCCCCGCTTAGTCAGAAGAGAGAAGGCCATGGTGTGTCCAGGAGCGGGCTGCTCCTCTTGGGCAGTACTCGGCTCAGATACCGTCGACGCCTCGCGGTTCTTGGGTCGAACTGGAAGCGGCACGTCAAAGAGCTGTTTGCGCTCAAACTTGCGGGACTCGAGGCTCTCCGTCATCATCTTGGCATATTCGCGTTCAAAGTCGGCCTCGTCTTCAGGATCAACCTCCTCTTCCTGTCTAGTGACAACAATGGCCTCTTCGTCGAAGCTACTCTCACGATCGGAATCGTCATCCACATCCTAGTTGG